AAATAAATTATCTAAAAATAAACACAGATAGATAATAGATATCTATACATATTATTATCTAGATTCGTTCATTAGATTTTTATATATATCTATATCTATATAATTTTCACTTTTTCGCTCCATATCTGGTATCTGACCTAGATAACTTTTGATTATCTAAAAAAAAACACTGCGAAAACCACCAAAGAATTTCCGTACTCCATTTCAAGAAGTACCTACATACATAATACTTAGCATTTTTGCCAAAATAATTTCCGCACACCAATGGATTTTTTATTTCAATGAGACTCATCTTAGGCGATTCGTTTCGAAAGAAAAAGAAATGAAATCTCCGAATAGCAGAAGAGCATTGAATTATTATTTTGTACCATCGAAATGATCTAGAACTATTTACTTTTCTTCAAACTTCTGCTAAAAAATATTGGCAAGTACTAGGAAATTGATCCAGCGAATACGGCTTTATTTCAAGCGGTTGAATATTTATAGTAGGTACTTTTAATATTCAAAGAATTATTGTTTTATAGGTAAACTATCTGCTACCTACTATTTTTAATTTAAAGATAATCTACACAATTTACTCCTGTATATCAGGGGAAGTATCGCTCGTAATTATCGACAATTTATTGCATTCTACCATTGGGATTGATGTTGCGGATGGTGGAGATGGTGCTTGAAAATTGGGTGTTCCTATTAAGGCTGCATAATCTGTTGTTCCACAATTGTACTTCTCCACGTTTGCCTTTAAATATGGTTCGTTTAAATTGATATAATGCTTTGCAACACTGGTTTCCAGAAGTTTAGAAATATTTTCTTCAAGCTCATCGAACAACGGACGTGACTCAGGTTTGACCCGCCAACATGATAACATAATGTCATATCTATAAAAATTGAATTTTCAATTATTCGTTTCGTTAACATTCTAAAAATCATTTGTCTCTTACACATCTTGAGTGGCATAATTTGGCTTTTCCATTCTGTAACCGTCCAATAATTTTTGGTACAGGTCCAGGCCTGAATCCAAACCAGGATATGGCGTCATTCCAAGCGAAAACAATTCCCATAGAACAATTCCGAAGGCCCAGACGTCAGTGTGAATACTAAATATGTGATCCTCGATAGATTCGAGAGCCAACCATTTGAATGGAAGCAGTGCCTACGAATTATTAGACATATTGAACAATGAACAATAAATATAATGAGATCTAGATATATATATATAGATTTACCTCTTTATTCTTGCGGTAAATATCAGTTTTGTACAAAGATCGAGCCAAGCCGAAATCACAAATTTTAATCACGTTATTGTCGCACAAGAGAATGTTTCTTGCCGCTAAATCACCGTGCAACACTTTACAAGATGCCAAATAATGCATTCCACGTGTTATTTGGAAGGACCAGCAAAGCAAGTCGGTTGTTGTAATCTGGTTGATTACAACATTAGAATCAATTGAGTTGTTGGATGTGCTTGTGCCTGCATCATCTGCACAAAACGAATGGAAAGCATTAAACTATACTGGAAATACACGCGTAATGGCAAAATCACCTGAAGCATCGTCTGTTCCGTGATCCATATTATTCAAAACTTGATCGTATAATGAATTGATAACCGATTGGCGATCGCCGTCATTGAAATCTCGAGCGTATAACGAATTATAAACTGATTGGTGATCCACCTCATGACTACGAACAAATTATGAATATGTTGATTTGCTTGACACATTCCAAGTTTGAATGGATTTACCTGTCACTATCTTCTAACTCACTTCTAACGTACTTTTGCTTTCTAGCGTATATGTTTGAATTAATTGTATCTGTGTCACGATTAATCTGGTCGATGAACGATGAACGTTTTTTAATGAGAATATTCTGCAGATTACCGTATCTACAGTATTCTACTATGAGCATCATATTGTCTGAAACAAAAAGCAACAATCAGTTTTTCCAAAAAAAGGGAAATACCCATTTAAAATTTCTCTTTTTTACATTTTGTAATATTCTTGGTGACTGCCCCAAGTAAATTGACTAAATTCAAATGTTGGCCCAAATGTACCATAATCTTCAGCTCCAAAACTAGAGCGCGCATTATCTATCCAAAAAATAAGAAATATTAGACTTTTTATCCAAAATAATTCCCCGAATTGCATGACTAACCTCGTCATTTGACGTTCTTTTGACCATTTTAACGGCGACTTTTGTCTTCTCCTCATAAGCCAAAATGCCATGTGCAATTCCTTCATAAACAACACCAAAAGCACCATTGCCAAGCTGAGTTCTGAGCTTTAGCTTTTCACGGGGAAATTCATATTTTCGGTCGTAGGGCAAAAGATCGGCCTGTTCGTCCAACGTTAGGTTTGAGTTTATACCTTCCGCATTTCCTTGCTCAAAATATTCCAATTCTGTTGCATTTGGTTTACGAATCAATTGGCTCTTACGTCTCTTTTGAACGTATAGATATGTGGGCAAAATCGTAAAAGCTCCAATCAATATCACCACACCAACGATAGTATACACCAATCTATTATTTTCGTTTCCATTATGTTTGGCATAGATCTTTGCAATGTGTTTATCAAGGAATGTAGTGACGTTCACATGACCTGAAATGTTAGTTAATCAAATCCATTGTTTTGTCCTAAATTGTGAGTTAAGGCAATTACCCTTAAGTTTAGCCAGATCCGATGGCGTCATTCTGTTGCTATTTTCAGCATTGACGTCGGCATTGTGTTCGATGAGGACTTCTGCGACTTTCACATGATCTGAATTATCAACGAATCAAAATTTTTAAAATACAATATCCACAAAATATCCAAAATAAATGCTTATATCGCGAATATTTTGCGGTTATTTATGTACAAATGCATATAGTGGGGATATAAGTGTATATATTACGGTTATTGTGGATATTGAAGCAAGTGAAATGACATTTATTCACAAATCGGTGCCTGTCCGAGCGCTTATGGCGCCCCAGTGCAAATTGCCTACATGCGCTCCTGAAATTGTATGACTTTAAAGAACCTGAAACCTTTTCGTGCTCTTTGACAGATGTACTAAATTGAATGTTTTCAATGTCGCCATCTGTTGTTGGTGATACAAATATCTTATCACATGGTTCTGATGAAGATTTTATTTATTGTTTATACAATTTTATACAAAATCACTTTTTCATTCATAAACTCAATTCAGAAAAGAAATCACAGTTATTTCAACTGTCGAGTTATTTTGCATGCAAAATGCCTAAAACATAAGAGTGAGAAAATTGTCATCATCAAGTTTACACGGCACGACCAATTTCAAGTAATGCAACTTTGTTTTGAAAACACTAGTACAAAATAATAAATGGCAAATCATTCTTTTGTCTCTTTGTGGACATTAATTCCCACATTTTCGATAGAAAGTGAATTTTTTCACACAACTCATAATTTCACAATGACGTGTTTAGTACATTTCATTGTTCAATACCGATATTGGACACATCCTAACATCAGCAATGGTATCTGTCAAACTTTACGCTCTGAAAATGACATTCATAGCAAACATTTAAAAACAGTCAATATTTTATTTTTAGCACTACATGGAATGTAGAATACATGGAATATAGGCTATTGCATTTGTTTTTTTTTTCCCAAGAAATTTTTAAGACTCTTTAGGCCATTTTTTTAGACCGAAAATTAATTCTTTTTTCTATCCAAAGTTCTAATTTGAAATAAAGCAATTACGCCTAATTACAAAAATATAATAATGTCATGTTCATGTAATTCATGTTTGAGATAACTCAAAAAAAAAATTTAATATTATTTTAATTCTCAATGTGAAGTAATGTACAATCCACGTTCACATTATCATTCCCAAAACCAAAATAATATAATTAATAATACCATAATTTATTTAATTGAATGTCCGAGAATGAAAACGCAACTTCTATTTACAACACATATAAGTGAAACAAAAATAAAAAATTTATTGAAATGAAACAACACAATCGAATTTTTTTAAAGTGTAACAACAAAAAAGATTTTTTTAAAGTGTAACATCGGTATGTTGTTACACTTACTACATACCGATGTTACACTTTAAAAAAATCTTTTTTGTTGTTACACTTTGAAAAAATTCGATTGTGTTGTTTCATTTCAATAATTTTTTTATTTTTGTTTCACTTATATGTGTTGTGAATAGAAGTTGCGTTTTCATTCTCGGACATTCAATTAATATATATTAATATTTATTTATGTATACATATGATTTATAACCAAATTTTTTAATGTTTCTCTTACATATTTAATTTTATCAAAGTAAAAGTTAATCTCCAGAAAAAATACAGTCCGGGTCGAACATTATTGATTTTGATTAAAATAATTTTCATAAAATACAGAAATGACTACTTCGATTGAAACTACATTCCATGTAGTGCTTGAATGAATAATTTGATGGAAAAGTTAAATTAACGTTAATAAAAATCATTTTAAACAACGCAAAAAGAACGCAGAGAGGAGTGAAGCGACGATCTGCGGTCTTGTTTTTATTTTTATTTGGGAAAACTAACATAACATTCACTTTCGAAATCATACCAAATATTACCCATCATTTTCAAATATTTGAGTTCATTTTTACGGATCTAACGAAGTATTTGAACATTGTCGTGCCGAGGTGGTGTTGAGGGTATACAATTCGGTTGTATCGTTTCGGCACGACCATTTTCAAATACTTGAGTTCATTTTTACGGATCTAACGAAATATTTGAAAATTGTCGTGCTGAAACGATACAACCGAATTGTATAGTCACAGCACCACCTCGGCACTGAAAAACATTCAATTTAGTACATCTGTCAAAAAGCACGATTCTTCGCTACAATAGGAATGATGCTCTTTTTTCAAAATGAGTAATTTTCTTGTTAGAAAAATTCTGTACGATGATGACATTCAAAACTAGATTTTCCATTTTAGATATCGCATAATAAATATTTTTCCAAATTCTATTCAATTTTGAATTAACTACTTTTTTGCATCGAATGCTTTGTTATGTTTCAAATCATGGTTTAATGATAAACTCAAACCATTCTACAATCAACATGGATCTGCCTAACCGACGTAAAACTTCTCGTCAATTTATTTACTGTATAAATTGAGTGAAGAATTTCGCAGTCTCATAATGCTCCGACTATAAAACTATAGTCGACTATAAAATTTAAAAGTCGGGTTTTCCTTCACCTGGCTAGATTATTATGATAGATCCTTTTATGTTGGATAAAAATAAGCCAGATCCAACAATTTTGATTTTTACTTTTATCCATTTGTCGGCCGTAGAACGGTTTTAATTTTATAATCGGCTATAAAATTTATAGTCAGACTATAAATTTTTTTTTTGCTTTTTTCTGTGTTTTTCTGAAGAATTTTAGTCCTATGAAATGAATTAGGATAAATAATGACGATTTGCATCAAAAACCGCAATGATTTCATCGATTTTTTTTTTTTTTGGTTTTTTGAGTTTTTTCGGAAAAAATTGATTTTTCTGAAAATGTTTTTTTTCGACTCTTCTTTATTTTTTTTTGGAAAATTCCAATCGAATGGAACATATTAGGGCCTAAAAAGAAGTTTTACATCAAAATGTTTCAATTTTTTCGACTTTTTATTTTTTATTTTTTTATTGAGTATAAGGTGTAAATAACAGGAAAAATCCCTTTTACAATTTATCACCTATGGTTTGTTTTTACAATTTGATAGTTACTTTGGTCAAAGCATTTAAACATTTCAGTCAAAATTAAAAAAGAAAATTATTGAATTCTTGAAAAGTGAGTGAATAAGGAAAAAAGTAAATTTAGATTTTTATGAAAGAATGAAAAATAATCAAATTAAATTCTATTTTTAATTGCATCTTTAAATTGCACTTTGCTCAGGCTCAAAATGTCAATGTCTGTAAATTTTCTATTATAGAGTAGTTGAGTTCGCATTGTTGGATTGCGATGTAGACCGTAGTCTGTTCTAGATGTCTGAGGATTGAAAAGCTGATGCGGTCTCCTAGATTGACGGTTCACTCTCATAATTGGCCTGTTGGTTCGGACCATATTTGCATCATGAACAATGTTGTGTAGGAGGCAAGCATCAAAGTATTCACGTCTCCCCTCCAATTCACTCATGTTTAATATTTCAAGTCTTTGTGAGTACGGTAGTGATTCATATTGGAGTTTAAAGAAGAGAAGACGAGTATACTTCCTCTGTACCTTTTCAAGTTTTGAGATGTATGTGCTCTGATCTGGGTTCCAGACTGCAGTGTTGTACTCCAGTCTGGATCTGACCAGAGAGTTATATAGGAAGCCTACGCAGGACAGGTCATTGAACTTTGATGCAGTTCTCATTACAAAGCCTAGCATGCTATACGATTCTTTGACAATTGAGTTAATGTGCTCATCGAATTTCAACTTTCTATCAAAGATAACGCCCAGGTCTTTCATTTCATCAACTTCTACCAGTGGATTGCCATTGATGTTATAGATGGCAGGTGTTGGGTTTATCTTATTTGAAAATGTCATGGCGTAACATTTTCCAATGTTGAGGTTTAATTTATTTTCAACAGTCCATCTGTGTAGTCTATCAATGTCTTTTTGCAATTCAATTACATCATTGGAAGAGCGAATGATTCTGAATATTTTCAGATCGTCTGCGAAAAGCAGATGAATATTTTCCAGTAGTACGCTGAGATCATTGATGAAAATATTAAAAAGAAGAGGACCCAATACTGAACCCTGAGGAACACCTGAACTTGGCTCAAAAGGTGATGATCTGTGTCCATTAAATGTTACATAGACAAGTCGTTTTGTAAGATAAGATTTCAGCCATAATAGCAATCCAGCTTCAAGCCCCATTAACTGAAGCTTAGAGAGGAGAATATCATGATCAACTGAATCAAATGCTTTTGTGAATTCTGTGTATATTGTATGTACCTCAAAACCCTCATTCAATGCTGTCGATACATGACTTACATATTCAATGAGATTGGTGTTTGTCGATTTATTCTTGATAAAACCATGTTGATTTGGTGTTAATTGTTCTTCTATTAATGATAATAAGTATTTGTTCATGATCTTCTCAAAGACAATCGCAATGGAATTGGCCATACAGACTTGTCTATAGTTCGACACATTAGATTCATCACCCTTTTTAAAAATGGGGGTTGCCAATGACGTTTTGAATGCTAGGGGAAATTCAGAACACAATAATGACTTGTTGAAGATTAATGCAAGTGGAATTGACAATTGCTCACACACCTGTCTCAGAAAGAAATTCGGAATGCCATCCGGACCACCATTCTTATTTAAATCTAACTTTGAGATTTCAATTTTAACATCATTTGGTGTGATATTTATTGGGTTTGCGGTTTCTGTGATGTTAAATGTGCGGTCTGATGAACGGTCTGTGTATGTAGATTTAAAGAATGTGGCAAATAGCTCACATATCTCATTCGGTGACGAGGCTGTGGAGTTGTCAAAATTGAATTGCGATGGATAGCTATTCGTTTGCCTTTTTGATTTGGAATATGCCCAAAAAAGTTTTATGTTTGATTTCATGTTTGCTTGAATGTGTGTGATATAGGCAGAATGACAGCTTTCAATTTTGGACTTGCATTCTTTTCTTAAATCAGAAAATTTAAGGTAATCTTCAATCATATTTGTTTTTCCATATTTTTTCCTAGCTTTTTCTTTGCTGTTTTCAGAGCTGTTTTTAAATCATTGTCGAACCATAATGGAAATTTC